AAAAAAAAAAAAAAAGCTGTGTTTATTATATCAGCAGTTGACTTACACAATAATTATATAAATAATGACGTCTAAATTTCTTCTACTGGGGAGAACCTTAATTCAAGGTTTTTCCTGCTCTGTAAAAATTCTAAGTATTTAGAATTTTTCTTTCTTTCTAAGTATATGCATATAGACGAACAAAGGTAACTTGGGGGGTCTTAAAATGCCCTTTTAAACTTATTCATAGAATTTCAGGGCTGGAATAGTTTTTAGTAAAAATCTGATCTAACTGCCTTACTTTATATATGAAGAAAGGAACCTTCCTGCCAAGTCACTCGGTTACACGTATGCATCGTTCTGTACATTTAACGGTCTGTCTCTCTGATTTCTGTCATTTACTACAGGCATGCTGGATAAAGAGGTCACAGGCAGAATTCACACAGAGGACATACACACCAGAAAACATGCCACTGCCACATTACCTCTGCACCTCTTCCGAAGAGGCCTGGGTTTTCTCCTGCTGTGGCCTGGGTTTCGCTCTTTCTTCAATCAGGGCACCATTACCTTCCAGTGAATCAGAGTGTGTATCCTCAAAGCTCCCTGCGGGCACTGAAAAATCACCCCCAGGAGCTACAGGACTTTCAACAGAAGACCTTCGCTTCCTTTTCTTAGACTTTTTCTTTACACGGCCAGCTTCCTTACTGCCTTCTGCAGTCCCAACCTCACCGACCCCCTGCCATCCTTCGGAGTACACGTTCTCTAGACTCTCAGGCCCAGGCAATGCCTCAAGTTCCTGGTCATGTGCAATTTTTCTCTTTTTTTTCTTAGACTTTTTCTTATTGGCCGATACTGGTAGTTGTGTGATTCCACCTCCTGGGTCCACAGAAAGCAGGGTTTCCTCCTTGTGTGGTTCTGGCTTGGGCAGAGCGAGGCTTGCACGCAGGCCCTCCTGCTCAGCATCCCAGGAGGCCACTTTCCTCCGATGTTTTCTACTTTTTGTCTCCCTAACTTTATGATGCAGCTCTTCCGACTCGTTTTTATGTGACTTAGGAACTGAATGCAGTTCGCCTGCTTCAGGCTCTTTTGTTGGCTTCTGTTCCTGGCTCACGTCAACATACACGACATCGACATCCCTCCTAAAATTCTTTGGTGTGTTCTCGATATTTTCTTTATCCACCAAGACATACGCCACACCTGTTTCCCCATCCACCCCCGAAGCCCTATGTTTTTTCTTTTTATTCTTTTTGGGTACGGACGTGGCCTTTTTCGTCTCACCACCAATTTCTGATTTTTTCAAAGGGGAAGGAAGAAGATGCTGGCAATCCTTTCTTTTTTTCTTACTCTTGGTTACGTGAGACTGCTCGCTTGCCAGGGGGGAGTCTCTGACACTTTCATGGGGATGCCTCAGATGTCCTTCCTTATACACAGAGTACTTTTTCTTTTTCTTGTCAAAAACTGGAGTGTGAATCTCCAGTCTGCTCGATTCTCCTTCCATTCTATTCCTGTGGGGAAACTTGACAACAATGGTTTATTTTGGCAAAGCATTTTAAACATCACCCTCAGGAAAGAAAAAAAAAAAATCACAGAAAAATGAGATTGCATAACAAATGACAAGGCTGGAGTCATGATTACAAATTTAATATTACTCTAAATGCACAGGAGGCTCACTGTAATTTACTGTCTGGTCACGCGGCCCTTATGATACGGTAAAAAATAGTTAACGGAGACCAGTGCCCAGCACGATCAGGCCCTGTTGCCCTCCAGCCTCGTCTCTTGCCTCTCCCGTCCAACTTTGGGCTCTAGCCACACAACGCCTTTTCTGGGTTCCTCAAACATGCCCCAACCCTTTCCTTGGCTCAAGGTCTGATAGCATACAATTTCCTCTTTCTAGAAGGCTCTCTGCTGCCTCCCCACCCTGGAGACCTCCGCCAAAGGCGGCCTCTGCGAGGCGAACGCACCACCACCCACCGCTGGACTCCACGCGCGCATCAAAAAGCCCCAACAACCGAAAAGCCGAAAAGCGCTTTCAACCTACCGCCCAACGCGCCGCCACCTTTCTTCCAATCCGGAAATGCCGCCGTGGTGGAAGCGGAAATAGCCGTGCGTCGCTTCCGGCCCCGCCTCGGCGTCACGCTGCCAAGGCAACACGCCCGCCGCCGCGATTTGACGCAGGCGTGGTAGCCCATGGGTTTCATTCCGGGGGTCCTCCGGGAGTGGGGTGAAGGTGGGGTAGAGCGGGATCCCCAAACAGAGAGAGCACAGAAGTCCCCGCCTGGCCTCCTGGCTCGCGCGTGCGCTCCACTTAGTCACGTTTTTGCGGAGCTCTGTTCTAGTCCAGGAGTGAGCCAGCCGGTGAGGTCCCGGACGTGAGGAAGACATAACACATCAGTCAAGATCATGTCAGGTTATCCTGCAAGGAAAGGAAAAAAGGAAAACAGTATTGTGTTGGAGAGTGAGGGTAGACAGCGAGTGCCACTGTAGATCGAAGGGCAGGCTCTTCGAGGAGTAACATTTGAGCTGAGTTGTAAACGAAGACGGCGAGCAGAAATCTAGATGGAAGATTGTTCCAGGCTGGAAGCAAGGCCGAGAACATGCACTTGGTCGCTGGAGGAACTGGAAGCCGGCCAGGGCCGCTGGAGCGGAGTGAATACAGGGGAGGGTAGTAGACGTTGAAGGCAGAGGTGGGCAGAGACTGCTGGGTTAAGCTTACGTGAAGCTAGAAGGAGCCTTGTGTTCCAATCCTCCCGTTGCAACTGTGCCCTGAAGAAACTTGGCTTATGATTTAAAGTAAAGCTTTTAAGTCGAGGCCAGTATATAAACCACTCAGACTTTTAGACTCCTTGAATTGTGAACATAACCATATTGGCAACTAGGTTTTTTTTTTTTTCCCCCACTAAATCCTGTAACAAGCCCATGTGGGTATTGTAGGATTATTTTTATTAGGTGTTATCAGCCGCACCCTCTGGATGAGAAAACTAGGGCTTAATGTAACTTGTACAAGGGGATTTATGTGGCCCAGGCAGGATTCAAACCTGTGCTCTCTCTACTACTCCACTATCCTGCCCCTCCCTGTGATGTAGGAAAGATGTTGGGGTTCTGAGCCCACCCCAAGAAAGAATTCTTGAGATGTCTTTGGTGCAAAAAAAAAAAAACGTGGTTTTATTAAAGCACAGGGACAGGACCTGTAGGCAGAAAGAGCCGCACTGGGGTCATGAGGAGTGGCAGATTATATACTTTCAAGTTGGGAGGGGTTAGGGCTAGCGTAAGTCTCTAGGGAATTTTGGAAGCAAAGTTTCCAGGACCTTGAGGGGGCTAGCTGCTGTTAGGAAAAGGTCATTTATTAGTGTCTAATAAAACTTGAGTCATGAGACCCTTCAGATGTATATGGATGGGTCATATGCTTGGGGGATGACTGCCAACACATATCTTGGGGGGTAGAGATAAAGGAAGCTTCTAAAGGAATTTTTTTTTTAAAGATTTTATTTATTTATTTGAGAGAGAGAGAATGAGAGACAGAGAGCACGAGAGGGAAGAGGGCAGAGGGAGAAGCAGACCCCCTGCTGAGCAGGGAGCCCGATGTGGGACTTGATCCCGGGACTCCAGGATCATGACCTGAGGCGAAGGCAGTCGCTTAACCAACTGAGCCACCCAGGCACCCCCAAAGGAATTTTTATATGTTGAAGTAGACTTACAGGATGCTGGGGATTGGGCTAAGATTGCCCTTTGCCCTTAGCAAGATATTAACATCGAGGCAGCTGAGTTCCTAGAGGAATGTCACTCTGCCGGTTTCAAGGACTTGTCAGTGGGCTGTAGGTAATAAGGAAATTCAATTTTTTTTGCCTTTGTTTCCCACATCACCTACACCTACCACCTGACTTCCTCTGTGTGAGCTGCCAAGCGGTTTTCATTAAAAGTGCACAGTCTGTATTTCTGTGAAAGTCTGGGAGTAAAGCAGGCTGGAGAAATCACAAGTACATATCACATCACACACCATCACCACCCAACAGCTGCTCCAGTCTTGGATGAGCAGTTGGAAATCTGTCTGGTCTGTTCTAGAAATGCAGTACTGGTGTTGTCCACTGTTGGTCTATAAGGCCTTGAAGTGCAAGTTTGCTGTTGGTGCAACTTGCTCTTGGTGAACCCTCTTACCCAGAGCCTTGTGGGTATTTGCACATTGAATGAAGATGATGAGGGGTGAACGAACCCACAAAAGGCTGAACTAGAAGGAACTAGAGATCATCCAGGCCAGTGGTTCCAAAAGTATTGTGCCAATTTCCTGGGAAGCTTTTAAAACATGCAGATTCCCAACTTGGCATACAGACATCAGGCGCTACTATTATGTCATATTGAGATCCATGGACATGATAATGACACTGTAGTAATGTGAGAGTGTCCCCGTTCTTGGCAGATAGATACATGCTGAAGAGTTTAGGGTCACATATGATGCTATCAACAGATACTTTCAAGATGATTCTGCAACGTGTGTCTGTGCATGGTGAACCTAGGTGAAATCTATATGGGTTTTCACTGTTCTCTGTTTTCAACTATTCTATAGTTTAGAACTTTTTCAAAATTTAAAAAAAGTCCAAAGGGGAGGAAGGAGATTTTTTAAAAATACAGATTCCCAGATTCCATTTCCATATTCTAAGTCAGTGGATCTGTATTTTTCCATTTCCCTCCATTCTGTTGCACAAAGTTGGGTACCACTGATCTCATTCAACTCTAGACTCTCCTCCTCACCCATTTCACAGGAGGAAAAACTGAGGACCCAAAAGAGTGACTGATTCAAGATCACCCAAGTGGATTAGCAGTAACATCAGGCCTGGAATGCAGATCTCTATTTCATCATGAAAAATTTAGCTCTCTAGCCCAGTGTGTGTGTGGGGGGGGGGGGGGGGTGTAGAGGGGAAGAGAATGATAAGGGGCCGTGAGTGGAGTGGGGTGGGTGGAGGGAGGTATCTTTGCCTAGGAAGTCAAGTGTAGATGGCCTTCTAGAGCCCGTTGCTTTTAACACAACCTAGTGGCGATTCTTGGTTTTTTTCGTATCTATTTAAGAGAACTCTAAGCAAGTCCACTTTGGTGGCCACCAATAGTTTCAAGAAAGAAAACCTGGCCCCTCAGCTCGGGCGCCGTTGGCGTCCCGTCGCCATGGAGACAGGCAGTTCCATTCTTCCTCAAGGGGTGGTCCTGATTTTCTGTCCGTTCCTAACCCGCAGGGCGGTGCCCAGAAGTTGCTCTGAGGAACCAGAGGGGCTTATATAGGGCTTTAGAGCTCCTTACGAGAAGGGGGCTGCGCGAGGTGGGTGCTCCCCGCTCCGGAGGGGGCCGGGCGTCTGGGGCCCACCCCGGGGCCCCGGGTGGTGCGTCCCGGGACTGGTGGAGGGGCCCCCTCCGAGCTCTGCGCCCCGCTCCGCCGCAGGGAAGCGCGCCCCAGCCAGCCAGCCCGCGGACCTCCTGCACGCAACCTCAGGATGCCAGAGACCCAGAGCTCCCGCCAGGACCCCCGGCGACGGAAGAAGAAGCAGCCGGTGTGCCGCACGGTCAGCCAGATCTGCCCGCCCCCGCGGCGGCCCCTGACCGTGGCCGACATCCGACCCGGCATGGAGAACGAGAGGCTGGGAGTCGTGCGGGATTCCATGTTTCAGAATCCGCTCATCGTCAAGGTGAGCCGCCCCCACGCCCGCCACCCCTCGGCGCTCGCCCCCTCGCTGGGCACCCACGCTGCCGGGGCTTCCACCGCCAAGCCCCGGCCCACGGGACCCAGCGGACCGAGCGCAGTGTTGGAAGCTCCCGCTCTGGTCCAGACAGACCTGGACCCCTGTGCGGTCTCCCGGGCAGGTCGCGTCGCCTCTCTGCGCCTCAGTTTCCTAATCCTCGAAGTGGGATGATAACGGCGCTCATTAGAGGGAGTGATGGGGAAGGTTGAATAGGGGCCCCTGGCACAGCGGCTGACACGCGGTGAGCCCGCCCGCAGGATTGGCTGCTGTTGTTCACCCGGGAGCCCGCCGGCGAACCCACAGGGTGACCGACAGGGAACACGCACCCACACTATGTCCTTACTCGCCAGCTGCCAGCTCTCTCGGGGTGCCGGCTGGCTGCCCCCTTTCCCCTGCACGCTACGATGCACGCTGCGATGCAGCAAGGGTTCTGTCCCTCTCCTGGAAGCATCACTCCACAAGTTAATTTCCATCCAATCATACTCTTATCCAGAATTACAGCCCGAAGAGAAAAGAGCGCGAAACTCTCTGCTCGCAGGCACGAAGGAGGGAGGGAGCTGCGGTTTCTTAACTAGATCGCCTTCCCATTTATTGCACACTCCCTCCCTTCAGAGGTTTCGGGACTGGTGATCACCCAACGCTGGCGTGGCATCGCCACACCTTCCCGGGGCCACAGGAAGAGTCAAGTTGAGGTTTGGCTCTCGGGGAGCTGGTCAGGGAGCAAGTTTGTCCTGTGCCACTGGAGGGCAGTGTGCTTTCAAAAATGCTCGCAGTTCCCGGGTGCCAGAAGTGCAAGGCCCAGCTGGTAACCATGGATTCGGTAAAAATGTATCTGAACGCCAGGAGCTCATCAAAGCCCAGAGGTTTTTGTTGTTGTTTTGTGGGGTTTTTTTGGTCTGTTTGTTTTTGTTTTTGTTTGGTTCAGGGAACCTGGGCTTTCTTAACATCATGCTAGAATTAGCTGAGTTCACGGTTCCTATGAAAACATGCACTCTATCCTGTTGCCTTCCCCAAACTTTGTTCCTGGCCCTGGCTTATCACACTAGCACTCTTCCGATTAATGTGCTCCTTTTCTTAGCAACCCCCCTCCCCCCACCAAGTGGAACAAGGTCCTTTATTAATACCTAGGTGAGAAGAGCCACTCTCAGCAGACAGATGGGGCAGATGGGGCTAACCATTCTGGGATCAAGGGGAGAATCAAGTCCTCCACCTCTGATCTGCCGCCGATGTTAGGTCATTGCATTCACTCAGGCAGGTACTAGTGGGCCAGTTCCATTCTACTTACATATAAAATAAACCGCGTTATAGAGTTATTCGTATTCTCCCCGGTAAATTAGCAGCATGGGATGCCCACCCCAAGCTATATAAGTTTGACCTTTGAACGATGTGGATTTGATGCCGGCCCATTTAAAAAAATAAATACTGTATTGCAGTACTGTAAATGTTTTTTCTCTTCTTTGATTTTCTTTTGCTGTTGTTTTATTTTATTAAAAAAATTTTAATTTAAATTCAATTAATTATGGGCGCCTGGGTGGCTCAGTTGGTTAAGCGACTGCCTTCGGCTCAGGTCATGATCCTGGAGTCCCTGGATCGAGTCCCGCATCGGGCTCCCTGCT